GAAATTTGTCTTTTTTATTTCATAATGAATTATATGTGTTTATCAGATATCATTCTTGATTGAGATCTTGAACCTGGAAGCACTGAGTGGGCGTTTTGTCTTATTGTGGAATTTCTCAGCAATGCGCATTCACGATCCCGCTTGTGGGATTTGAACTCAGGGCCTTCAGTTTTATGTGCGAAACTGATTATATATAATCTAGTTAAATTAAACTATACTGTCTACCGAACTATCATTGAAATGCATATTTCTAAATTTACTGTTAACCTTGTTTAATATCTATAAATAGTTCATCATAGATTATTAAGTAAATTAAATCAGAATACTATAACTGAATATCTCTAAAAACAAAATGTTAGACAGGAAGAAAGGTAATATTAGGTTGGGTAAGTAAATTTTTACATAAATGTTATTGTCTTTGAGGATTCAGGATAAAAATCTTCAGAACATGTACTTCAGGAATGTGAATAACGGGAAAGCGCCTACACTTATTACTTTAATTAGAAACTATGTTCAGCCAATCAACACCATGTATACTGATGAATGGTGAGTTTTGAGGTATCTTCACAATATTGAAAATTGGGTGAGACTATAATTTATGGACGACCTTTGAGTGACTCTGGACTGACCTTGATATTGTCCACCAAATAAAGGGAACCAAATGAGGGTTATAAACCCGTGTGAGGACATCGAATTGCGATTTATAGTTGACGGTTAAGGTTAGGAATTATATTTAAGGTTTTCATCACGAACTGATATAAACTATAGTGGCGAAATTCTATTTTGCCAAATTGATGAGTGAATTTCTCGGCAAAATCTGAGACCTGTTATTTTTTACCTGATTGGTTCGTTCATAAATTATAGTCTCGCCGAAAAATGTTTTATTTCAGTACAGAGGATTCCATTTTAAAGATGTTTGCTATTGTAGTTAAAATTATATGTACTTTTGAACATTTCGTGTTGTTTTATAAAGCATTCTTTCATAACATCTATTTTTGTTGAAAATTCCCCTTCTTTTTTTTAGATCATTTAACAGTTGCTCCAGTTCAACAATATAGTTCGGTTTAACCGGCAAGTAATTTATTTTGAGAGAAAAAGAGCATTTCTTATGTTTTCTGGGTTTTGACACTGATACAGAATCTAGTAGTTAAATTTATCTCAATGGCTGATATCATAATGAGTACTAATAAATATGACAGTTATTAAACGGTTATAAATCATTAATCATTGGATACAAAATTGAGTTTTCTAATAATTAAGATATATAACGAAGTTAACATTTTATAGTTTTAAACAACTTATCCTGCTGAACAATTTAACTAATTTTGCATCATATTTTTTCTTAACAGTTACGATTATTGAACTAGTAAACTGTTTATTTTTCTTCTTGTAGAAGAAATATTGTGTAGATACTGAACGGTAGAATGCAATACTCACATTTCGTCTTACTCTCAACTTCTTTATTATTTCATACACATAGTTCCCTTTATCATTTTGAAAATAGCAGGAACAAACATTGCAGCAGAATAGCATGAATTCATTTCACTTCGCTGGTTCTCGTCAGATGTTTACAACCTGTGATATTTAAGATCATAATTACATAATGGGTTTAAATTACTTACAATAGAGGGTTCAGTTGGAAGTTATATTGAAGACGTATTAGTGTAGTGTAGCAAGGGTGAAAATAAATTTAATAGACTGAATATTGTAAATATATACCTTATTTAAAAGAACATTCTACAACATTGATTGTGACAACAGTTCAAACAGCTAGAAACAGGTAAACATTGATAGGAATAAAATGAGTAGAGTTCAGTTGATACAATAAGATTATTCATTTAGAAAATAGTTGAAATAAAACTCAATGATTTGATAAATGCAAGAAAGTTTAAAGAAAAAGATATATATATATATATATATATATATATATATTAAGATACAGCGTAGGAATATTAGTCACCAAGGGAAGGAATGAATAATAACCATCTCCTTTTGAACACATAAATCAGGTTTTTGGCGTCTGATAGCAACGGCTTCCACAAACTTCAGAAGACTGAAGTTTGGCTGCTTACTAATCACCTTGAATGATTGCAGGGTATCGACCTGATGTCCTGTACCAAGGAGATGTTTGGTATTTATCAGTATTGGGGTTGTGGAGATTATTAAGCTTTTGATTGAGATCATGAATCGACTGATGTTAGACCACCGTTGGAAACCTGGAAGCACTGGACGGCCGTTTCGTCCTAGTATGGGACTCCTCAGCAGTGCGCATCCACGATCCCGCTCGCGGGATTCGAACCCAGGGCCTTCAGTCTCGCGCGCGAACGCTTAACCTACTCGACCACTGAGCCAGCATCCAATGGTGTTAGTGTCTAACATCAACCAATCCACGAAATTGCGCGAACATCTTCCATTGTACTGAGGTAGATACCTGTCTCTACCCGACACGGATTAGCTCCACTGGTCACGGCTTCTCACTAGAACTCCGAGAATTCCCTCACGAAGCTAGTCACTAGTGAGCACATGTTAATTATCAGTATTGGGGAAGATGGTCGCGCAATTTCGTGGATTGGTTGATGTTAGACACTAACACCATTGGATGCTGGCTCAGTGGTCGAGTAGGTTAAGCGTTCGCGCGCGAGACTGAAGGCCCTGGGTTCGAATCCCGCGAGCGGGATCGTGGATGCGCACTGCTGAGGAGTCCCATACTAGGACGAAACGGCCGTCCAGTGCTTCCAGGTTTCCAACGGTGGTCTAACATCAGTCGATTCATGATCTCAATCAAAAGAGATGTTTGGTGTTTTCACTGTTTAGAGTCTTTCTTTCTCTTGTTCTGAGGCCTTTTAGAACATGTTCATTATAACTTCCAACTAAACCCTCTCGAGTAATTAATTAAAACCCATTATTTAATAATGATTTTATATATCACAGGTTGTTTGAAATGTTAAGTTTCATGTTTTCAACCCGATGGCGAAATAATATTATGGTGTTATTGGTCCTGAATACTATGATTTTAATCAAATGTGTGATGTCTTATATCATACTTCTCATTTCCTGATTCGATTTAGTGATTTTTAATTATAGTCTATATGTTTAGTATTTTAATATCAATTATATAGTTGTTTTAGCTTCAAGGGTGCAAGAAAAGATTTAATCAAAATAACATAAATTCATTTTGTTCCGATAGGTTTTCCCCTGCTCCTTACAATTAGTAATGTTTAAAAATTAGATTCACAAAATGAATTTGTTTAAAGTTGTTAGCTTAAACAAGAATATTCCAAATACGTTAATGACATATTTGTTGCTTGTAATAGTAAACATAACGTAACCCACATATATGAACCTTTCAACAAAGGGGATCATAGCATACAGTTCTCTATGAACACTAAAAGGACAAAATGTCATAATTCCTTGATTGTACTACACAACGGAGAGAGGACTGTAAAGTTGAGCGTTCAGTTTACTAAACTAAAACACAGAGAATGGTTTATGCTGAATTTTATTAGTTTTTGTTCAATTAGTTATAAGAAAGCATCGATTAAAACACCATTTTATGGGCTAGAAAGAATATGTACCACTGAAGAACTGGAAGAATTGATGAACATTTAGTGATAACTGCTACCCACAGAAATTGACTGACAGATATTGAAAAACTAAAGACATTAAGTTGAATCCGGTTTCGGTCACTAGAAAACAAATTTGTATCCAACCTCACAGCGAATTTCAGCCAGATTCATTGATATAATTATTTTCAGTCAACTTTTTAATTTGAGTTTTTAAATAGTGAAAGCAGTATAAAGTGGACGGAAACTTTAATAATTAAATACATTCATATCATTCTCCTTTAAACCCTTGTTTTCATTCACCCTAACATCCTAAAGAAGACTTTGTGTTTGATATTTTAGCCAAGCTACCTTTTCTCCTTTTAACAGCTTCTCACTATGCAAGTACAAAGTGTAACTATGTGGAATGATATGCATTTGGGTTTCATACTACTTTGTTGATGACTAATTAACTGATTGACTTTATGATAAACAGTTGTGATATTATTGTAGAATATACAGAATGCAAGAAAATATGTTGCATGTTATTATTAGTTTTTGACTCGACTTAATCATAATAATCTTAACAAATCTAAAAAGAGACTTATGACATCAATCCGGATGAACAAAAATAAAAATGACAACAATATGTTATGGAAAAATATTTCACAAAAACAAATGGTTTTTTAGTTAACCTAAATTACAGTAAGTATGGAAGGGGTGTGTTTACTAAACCGACATGACGAACAATTGGAAATCAGATTCATGCTTATTTTAAGTTTTACTTTACACCTATATTTCACACATACATAGTTTTGCTGAATTTAGGCATTAAGTTATCCTGGTTGTTGTTTTCTGGACACATGTTGGAAAGTAGCATACTAGGATAAAAAAAAAACCGTTTATTGCTTCCGAGTTTTCAATGGTTATCTAATAGATCAGTTCATGATCTCCTTCACATGAAATATTTATTTCAAATAAAATGAAGGGCATAAACAATTGGTGTCGAGATGAATATCATGCCTTCTAATTAACAGTTTTTTATTTTCATCCATATAGTTTGAGTACTTTTATCAGCGAACATTTGAACTAAAATTATCCTGCTATATTCTTAGATAATAAGAGTCGATTTTAAAAACAACTGTGGTAGTTTCTTTTCTTTCTATAGCAGTCATAGTTAAATATTTCTTTCCAAGATCTCGAACTGAAAACTGTTATCCTATCCTAATCACTAATATAAATCAAACCCTAATATGTTTTGAAAACGATACAGAAAATCTTAGCTTTCACTTAGTAAACCAACTTTCCTCACTCTTGCTATGTTCTATCAACCTAAACAAAGTCAAAGACATTAACACTAAACTCTTGAACTTCCATCGTTGATTATGAGTTTGATTTAATTCAATAATTAAGAACAATATCTTCTTAATATTTATACAGCTAACACAATTCATATAATTATCTATTTGTATAGTTTTCATAGCCTTGATAATATCGTTTTGCAAATTGTTCAGATGTACTACACTGTTTAACTTCCGTTACACATTGAATTCCACAGCATAACATACATATTGGAACCGTTGAATAGTTGAATACATCAACACAATGAATACATATTGTATTCTTTTGATCGTATCTATCCATCCCACACCAGCAACAAGAACCAGTGCTAGAAATGTATATAAAAATTAATAAATATGATTGTAGTCTTATATTGAAGCATTAAAAATTTCGGCCTAAATCGAACTAGATATTAATGCTAAAAATCTGAATTTTATGGGTTCATTTAATTGACTATGTCTGTGACTCATTCTTTTGTTATTACAAAATAGTAGTTATGACAATTATTACATTATTTCATCCCTTAAACAGTGTAGTTTATTATCATTTTTGGTGAACCCGAGATGACTTTTAAAAATAGACCTTTTATAGATTCTCCATAAAGAAAACTGACAGTTTTCAATGATAAGTATTACTGTAAGCTTCTGCTTTGATCTAGATTTATTTTAAAAAACTTTGATTCAATTATAAAAACATCATGTATCAAGATAGATATGAATGAGATTGTTGTTACCGATATTTATGACAATAAAACCTAATTCAACATCACAAATACATTCCACTATTAGAAAGATACATTTCAAAACTTATTGTTTATCAAATATAACTAGTGGAATTTTATGATGTCAATTAAATTGGAAAGTCATCATTTGTTTATTTATTTGAAATTATCATGCATCCGTGAAGACATTAATACTGGTTTTCTGTGAGCAGCCACTTGGTTACTTAGTAAGCATCAAGAAACCATTCGCTTTGTCAGCAGAATATATAACTGTTATTAGTAGTTTTAGGAATAGATTTTTGTAAAAAAAGTGATGTTTATGTAGCTCCTGTCTCTATGATTATGAAATTTCTCACTATGACCTCAGTGTCATAAATGTTTTATACTACTAATATTTTGTTCAGTATCGTAAATCATGAACGACTAATTAGTTTAAACTAGATAAAGATTGAATATTACTAGCCTTCTTATATATGTATCTTACTATAGACACAAACGAGATTCATTGTTTTCAGGAAACTATCCTCTGTTTTAAGCTGGTCACAATGAAACAAAGTAATGAAATTTGATTAACTTACGGACTCAACAACTTATTTGACATAGTTGATTCTTCCTTGTCAGAAACTTTCCGAAACTCAAAGAATTTCGCATTGTTCTCCTCTGAATTAGTAATCAATATATACTGTTCTGGCTTCTTTCTGAAAGTTTCTTGATTTTGTATATTGATTTTATTGAGTAGATCTCTCATTTGTAAACTAGCTAATACTCTTAAAGATTGTATTTCAACTGAAGAGTTGTTTTTAAACTCTTTTGGAAATAAACATAATAATGGATTATCATTTAAGTTTAGACTTTCCAAAGCTTTTTCACATAGACATAGAAGACCAGGAGGAATACCAGTTAAATCGTTACCACTAAGTTTCAAAACTTTTAAATGCCTGAAAATAAATTTTTTATTGTAAAGAAAAAGGCATAAGGGATAATGTTAACTCATTCACAAAACCTAATGTGTTTGAAAATTAATAGTCGTCAGACTAGAAGTTAACTACAGTCTATACCTTTTCTAAATTCCTGGCATATCAAGATTTTCATTTTGAAGAAAATTAGACTGAAGGTCAAAAGGCAAACATTAGAGATACATAACCAAAATCAACCACTTACTCTAAATTTTTTATTCGACTATCAAGGTGTACAAGACGATTATAGGATAGATCCAGTTGTTCTAATGATTTTAGATCATAGAATCTATGAAAAGAAAACAAAAGGCACGACTGAAATAGTTAAATTTGTACAAATAAAATGAAAGTAAGATTATAAGCAAAGATGGATAGTGGCTAGCAGTGGAATCCAGGACGTGCGTCTCGTCCTACTTGGGAATTGTCATCTGGATGCACGCGCATCCCAGAGATATTCAGATATGTAATCATGTTGCCTAAAAAAATCAAAATCTGGAATTGATTAATTAATTTTGAGTAAAAGTACAGACAAAACAATGCAACTGGTGATCAACCAAATAATATAAGTTATCTTTGTTAACTTGAGAAAATGTATTTGAATTCTTCATGCTTAGGTCTGGGTGTTAATGAAAGTTAAATATGTCCTCAGAACTCATTTTAAACGAAGCCTACATTCGAGAATTTCGTCCGCTCACCACTTGATTTTAAATACTCTGAAGAATCATGTAGTTAGTAAGGAAACTATGTCTATCAAGATTCTTCATTCAAATCAATTCAGAGAAAAGTGTTTTTAAATCATTTTGATTTGGAATGACTTCTTAAGCGTTTAATCAGTCATCGTAAGATGGTGGTTAATAAACAATTGTATGACTACTAAATACTCTGCCAGTCTGAATGTGAGTATTATGTGAAGGACTTTGTTTTATACCAACTTACGGCTGAAAAATAAGAAGACTGTAATTTAAATAATTCCAATGTTGTACCAGAAAAACTACTTTGAAATTATGTAATAATATAATCGAAAAATTGCTTCAATCATTCAGATTGTTTCGATTATAAATTTTACATTTATTACTATTGGTATAGTTTGAATGCTCTTTGGAACAAGTCTGAATTCCACAAACGAACTCTGATTACAATTAACAGTTTAAAATATTATCATGATTATGCGTAGTGCCGAGACTGTTTTTTTTGGTAGGTTGAATCCTTTTAAACGATTTTTGCTTTTCTAATACTTTCATATTTTCTCATATAAAAATCTATTATAGAATGATAAGGCGAATGTGTCAGGACACAGGATGCTTATCAAACATATCCTTGGAAAAAGTATTTTGATAGTATGTGGTAAGACAATATGTCAATGAACAAATGCATTCTAAATACAAGGTGTATTTAAACGACAATAAAAAGCCTAACGGTTATTCTTAGAAGCTACATTTCTTACTTAAAAACAATACTATATCAATTTTCTGACTGAAGTGTTTGGAACGTTAATCATTTAGTGTCATTTAAATAACAAATTGAATTTATCTGGCGTTATTTAGATAGGTAAGTGATCCGAGTATGAGATTCGACAAGTGTCAGCCCTTATGACGTCGTCATAGATCTAATAACGATCTGCAGGCCTAATAGTGTGTGTGCGTTACCTGTCAGATCACTGACATAGAAGATAATGGTTCACAATTTCAATTCACATCAATTCGTGATACTGTCATAATATTTTATTAGTTGAATAAATGGCAGAAGATCTAACTAAATAATAGTTGTTTTGTGCGTTATATACATATTTTTTAAATTAAACTGAAAAAACTGTTAATGTGACTGTTAAATACACGTTTCCCAAAATATCGCTTCAATATTTTCTGTATTTTTAACCTAAATTTGATATATCTATTTAAATTATTATTTCACTTAATTACTTACATATATAGTATGATTAATTTTCAGTTTTCAAAAGTTATTATTCGAACAAACTTGCTATTTTAACGGTAAAAGTACAATGTACTTACTGTCCTGAGTTAGCCAATCAGAATTACGATGACCCCTCGTGTGTCTAGCGCGAAATTTGAAGTGCAGTAATAGACAACTTTTATGTTATTATAAACGAAGTAAATATCGGCAATAATTGGTCTGTAAAATGCTTGAAATCAACAAAAATATCTTTTATGCAACCACAAAGTGAATTTGTGTTGGTGCTTGAGCCAAATTAAAAAACATAACTGCTCCTAATGTTGAATGTTTGGTAAAGTACTTGATGTGATTCAATTCACAGTCAAGTGTACCATGAGGATAAATAGTATTATCCTATACTTATCTTTACTTTTAGTTCCAATCCAAAGTTTCATAAGTTTGTGAACAGAATGGAGACAAATAATTTCACTATAGCTAATGTCGCTTAGTGATGAAAACCTTATCACTGATTTGTAAACCTGCCTCGGAAGTCCAGAATAACTCTAAACCTAATTATTTTGCATCACTGTTGGTGTTAGTTGATAATTCTAACTCATAATACTGGAGCAACATTCAATCTGCAAGCCTTAACCTTTTTCTTTTACTGCATAAAATAATTTGACATGTGAAGGTTGATTCATGGTATTAATCGTATTAGACCCAAAAAACCGGACAAAATGTACACCAAGTATTAGGTGGAATCAAGTATGAAATACTGGAGGGTTTCCTTTCCTTCTCCAGTATGAAGCTCACCACAAAGGTTAGACAACTATAACGATGATTTCCTTAAAGTCCATATGGTCGTTCTGCATGAAGAACAGAAGTGATGTACGAACATTTGTAGAAATGGTATTAATTACTGGAACTGTTAGCTTAATATTTGACAAAAGACAAAATGATATTGAAGAAATTACAAAGTTCTACTTCATTGTTAAAACCGATGAGCTAACCGGTTGAAAACAATTTACTTACAAACCATTCATAGATAGTTTATTATTTGAAGTGGATATGTACTGGTACGAGTTTGCCGCATCTCATAAAGAATAACGAGATAGAAAATTAAGAAAAGAATCAGATTTAATATAGTGTGGTGTGTGCTACTTATGTAGACATAAGTAGTACATGACGTGAGTAGTGAACAGAATGTCTGGCAGCAGAGAAACGAGAAGATCGAACAATAAAGAATGCGAAAAGAATGAAATTTGTATGAAAATGCCAGAACAAAGGAATTCTGAGTCATTTGAGACAACTGATGAACATTTTGCAAATTTAGCGTTTAATATATGGTTGTTAGATTTTAGTAACCAGTTCTGTAATTTCATGTTAAGTACATTCGATTGTCCCTATTGGTGTTCTTGTTGACTACAGTAGTACCAAATAAGAGACGTTGTGGAAAGAATAAATAAAATGAAGAGATGAAATAAGTCAAATGATACTCAACTTGAGGTTTAGAGGCAGATAAATAATGTATACACGTACGTTATCGTGAATGATCTCAGTTGACAATTTGAATCATATATTACGATTATATTTTATGCCAAATCAGGAAGTCTTCACTTAATGATGCAAATCAAACTGAAAAACACCAACTTCATGGACCGAAGTTACGTGCCCATTAGACGGTTGTCGAGAGTTTCATAACTATTATACCAGACAACAAAGTGGGGTGACAGGTGACTGATAGTATGAAACATTTCTGAATCACGGAATCCGACAAAGACCTACATTTTAATAACGTAACTTATCGTTTCTATGTGAAAATCTACTCCTAACCTTAGCTTTGTTCGCTTCTTCCTCCGGAGCGTTTCTACGACATTTATGATAAATATTCAAATTTAAAGGGATTTTTCTAATTATTATAATATATTGCTTTTATACATCATATGTACTATCATAAATTTTTACGGAAAGAAAAAATTCAGTGAATAAGTTGTTTATCAAAATACGTTCGTGAAATTATTGTAGACATCTGTAGATGATAAAACAAGAAAGAATCAAAGAATGACATCAACAGGGCTTTTAATAATCAAGCAACAATCGACTGCTATTTCCTACCAGTTTCAGACTATTTGACTAACTCAACTCACTAAAATATACAGAATTGAACCTAAGACTTTCAGATATCTTGAAGGATACAATTTTCGTTAGTAGTTGAGTTATATTTCACTAATTCATTTGTACTAGATTCATCGTAAGTTTGAATTTATTATCAATTCATGGTAAAAGTTACCTTCGAATATAACAAAATCTTTATAAAATCACTCAAGTTAAAGCAAAATTTTTACCTCACAAGTGATCAAATTCTAGAACAATGTAAAAAACAAAGACAAGAAATAATATACAAAAATAAAGAAAAAAAGTTTTAAATAAAAATTTTATAAAGAAATATAATGAATAACAACACAAACTAATGAAACTACTCAATATTCACAATTGGTTGATCACTGTGTATTGATCAATGTCATGTTTGTCAAGTTCTACTTAGTGTAAATCGAATTTTATTGACCAAATTGAAATGTGATTTATAGTCTAGGTGATTTAACATTACATGTACTCTATTGAAATAAGATGATAGTAAATTATGCATAAAACACTATTTAAAATTCTAATTATTTTACTAGTAATTTAAATGATCATTATTTTAATAATCTTAATTACTTACTCATAAGTTAAATTTTCAATTAAACAATAAGATAAATTCAATGATTTTAATTGTTTTAATTTGACAATTGATTCAGGCACTTTATGTAAAGGATTAGAACGTAATGATAAAAATTCCAAATTGTTTAATGAACAAAAATCATTTGGAAGGTCCTAATTAATAAATGAAGAAAAAAAATATTTATATTAAAATGGTAGTATTAATACTTATATTTCAATATAATTTTCTATGTTAATGTAAATTCTGGTTGATTAACAACTGAGATTAAATGGTGGTTGAAGATAGTCAACAAAGTGGACCTGTAATCATGAGGGAAATAATGCTCCCCGATGGATTTGAATCCGTATTACCTAGTGGTAACGTCTCTGACTGTGAAGCTGGGTGACACGGGATCGAATCCTTCAGGGAGTACCAGTTCTCTCAAGATTACAGGTACACTTTGCTGACGAGTGCCAAGTAGCACGAAATCCGGGTCCAGGGTTTTCTGTTGACTTCATTTGCAAAATGTCAATCAGTTGTCTCAAACTTTATTGTTCTTTCATATCCACACCAATCCTTCGCTTTACTTCAATCTTCTTAACTTTCTACCTTCAGGCATTTCACTTTCGATTAATCATACATACTATTTATATCCGTCGACATCAGTAGCACACCACAATAGTAGTTAGACATCCAGTTGATGTAACTTATAGGAAAGAAGGAAATCATATTTCTAAGCAGTTTGCTTCAAGAGTTTTCTAGGGAAAACTTGTACCAGACTGGTGAGCGTAAAATTGGATTTACTTTTAATGCAATCACTAAGATGTTTACAAATATAGTTTCACCCCCAGTTTTATAATGAATAGTTTCTTGATGACAAATAAGTAAAATACGTTAGTGCATTTATCACTGAAAAGCAACGAACTAGGCATAAAAGTGTCGATGTGACAAGAAGTTGAAAGCATATAATTTCCAATCATGACAGATACTTTTGTGATACACTTTGCGCTTTGACTGCATTTAGCTTTTTGTATTTAAATTCGATTATTAACGTATTATACTCGTTCCTATTGATTCCAGTTGAAAACATTGGATCATCGTTATTTATTAACTGTTGGTCAGAAGAAATACCATCTTAACCATATTATAACAAACAAATGAATCGGATTATTAATAAAGACAAAATGAAATATGACAACGGATTTCTTTGGATTTAATACTCGTTATTAATGCGTATAATTGATGACTGTTTGCATTAGCGGAATTATCATAAGACGTGTCAGTACTCAAAATATAAAACAAGGGCGGCGTTCTGTGCACTTTATTGAGCGTACTACAAGTAATTTATGTCTCAGAGAATAAAACCATACTGGTAGTTCGATTGGGAGCCATTGGCTGAAAATGAGGTAGATTTGATAAGCTCATTCAACTATTGAACTATATACCTCTCCCTTACTAAGATTTGCAGATACCCTAAATACTTAAAAGTAAACGTCTGACTTTTTTATTTAGTAGAAATTTACAGTGTGAATAATTTTCTCATTTTTTTCATGATGAATATATTTACAATACCTTAACTCGAAAAATTTCTTCTCTCTACCTTATGTTCTCAAGAACTTTTGATTATGTTGTATAATGGGACCACTATCCTTAGTATACCAGAATCACCGCTGTAATAACTTACGAAAACTCCATCAAAACTCTCATTTAAAACAAATCACAGTTTTTCATTTTATCCAACTGTTTGGTTTCTAATTTTTAGGTGTTTTGATAATTCAGATTAACCAAATCTATTGGCCTGACTATGAAGTTGTAGAAAATAACCAAATTGTTACGTCCCGACAAGAATAATGGATGGTAATTTTGGGATCTATTTGTGAACCAATACTATACGTATATTTTTATCGTATAATTTTTAAATAACTAAACTATTCATATTCATGTTCCTCTTATTATAAGCTGTATTTTGATCTATGAACCATTATTATACGTTTTACCATTCTTGAATTATGTCCTGTCTATTAATCACAACCTCCCACATTCACAGCCCATTTTAGCCAAATCTTGTACAAATGTTGTTTTCTATTTTATGGTACGTTGTGGTCTGTTTGATTGGTACATAAACTCATTGTGTTTGAAATATAATGATTCATATTGCAGAGGCTGAGATTGGCGTTCTGGACTTAACTGGCTGGGCTAGGCGGAAAGCAGGACCAATCAAAACTAGGCTGCTCGCACGTGTTATTACGCGTCCTTAGTCTGATCGAAATTCACTGCCCTCTAATCGGCGGTCACAACATATAACATAAATAAAGCAAAAATACATTTCATAAAAATTGCGATTCTTCCGTAATATAAATTTTAAAAAGAAGATAAATACGTGAAACATATTCTTTTAGCTATAAGTGGATGTCATTGTGGATCAAAATTAGTCGCTATATTATATAATATGATGTTTGTTTGTGGTCTAAATTGTTAGCTAAGCATATACTTCACTTCCTTAGGTTGTTATCACTTCAACATTATTTTACGGTTCACTTGTATCAAAACAGGATTTTTAAAGCTGTCATCTTCTCTGCGACTCATTTACCAAGTTGATATCATCGACTTGGAGTTATACTGTTTAAATTAAATCCAATAATACTGTCCAGCTGCATAAACCAATTTAGCTGGAGCAAGGTCCGAATCTTTATTTTGAAGAAATGGCTTACATTAAGTCGAGAAACGTCAGAACTACAATTTTTCTACTCATTGGGATATAAAAAATATATTTATTATTAACTTTGACCAAATGGTTAAAGATAAACTATTCAACTGGTAGGTTATCGTTTATTTTCAACTATATTAACAGAACAGCTACTCTTACCTCTAAGTAATTCCTAGAAAGATTGAGGAATCTTAGCGTCACATAAAATGCAGATAAATCTGGTAAATACTTCAACTGACAGGCTTCCAAAGAAACCGAATTGCCTCCTGAGTAGTATGAATCCAACAATTTGACTTGTTCAGGTTTTACATATGTTGCTGAAAGATTTTCGTGAAAATCATTACCATTAATCGACCATCAATAAATAAGACGGACTTAACGGAATTATTACTTTTTTAATTTTGATAATTAGAAAAACTGCCATCTAAACAAATATATTGAAAATCTAAATAGCCTTAAAACTAGAACCTGAAGAATCAATGTTTCACTTCCAAATGTATTAATATAATCAATCAACTAGCAAGATATGAAAATGTCTATAACCAAGGTTTAATATACTGTATGGTTGATTACTGGTGCTACTGGAACATTTATTCTCTATTGCTAAAGTGACTGTGTGAATAAATTCACGATTTACAGTGATGTTTTGAAAAACTGGGATAGAACAACTGGTGACTTTGTAAACCAACACCACCTGGAACAATGTTCATATCGAGGGAACAAAAGAAGTCCCATAATTACCCGGTCAGTATAGAGAAACAGTGTATGAAGTTATTGATCTTTATTATGAACTTTATCGAGCCTTATTTTGCAGAAATCTCTATCTAGTTGAAAGTTTCGAAGTGATAATATCTGGGATTTATTTGATCACTATTTAACTACCAGAACAAATCGTGTTCTATAAGCATTCATCCACAGTCCATCCGCGTATTTTATAAATATCCATATACTTTCATTAACTCCATTGATTTTTACGGTTTATTTGTTGAAGAATGTTAGCAACTTGCAAAACCAACTGATGCTACAGTCGCTACAATCGCTTGATTATCTCCCACACCCGTATTTCAATACTTTGCACGATATATGACCCAGTCGTCGATGCATTAACATAAAACTTGCTTGGTAAGAACGTGCTTCAGCCTACATGTTAAATATTGTTGGGCATGCTCCCTGATATCTTCAGTACTATCTTATATATTACATATTTTCTTACAAATAAGGTACAAAAACTCATGTTAGTGTTCAAGTGTGAATCATAGGTTAAAAAATTTAATTGTGACTCATCAGCTGGGTGTACCTACATCCCAGTGTTCATATTCACTCCGGGACTCAAATCCAGTACTGCCATTTCAAACACCATCGCGTTATTCACTCAGCTACTGAGCAGCTGGAAATCAGGACTTAGTAGCTGAGTGGATGACGCGATGACGTTTGAAACGGACAAAACTGGATTTGAGTCCCGGAGTGAATATGAACACTGGAATGTGGGTACATTCAGGTGACTAGTCCCGAATAGGACGAAATGCGCGTCCTGGATTTAACTGCTAGCCACTATCCATCTTTACTTATAATACCATAATAATTTCAGTGGTTGAGATCGTGAGTCAGTTGAAGCTAGACCACCATGGAATACCTGGAAGCACTGGACGGCCGTTTCGCCCTATTGTGGGACTCCTCAGTGCCTCAGGTTTTCCATGGTAGCCTAGCTTCGACTGACTCATGATCGCAACCATTGAAATTACTATAATATCCACAAAACCCCTTCTGATATTAATACCATAATGGTTTTATAGTAGAATAAATTTTAATTAAAACCAAGGTGGTAAAGCTCCAAATCTAAACTGACTCATATCCCTTCTATCATTTTTCTTTTTTACTAATTAATTTTAGACATTTTTTTCTAAATGGAATTTCAGTTCAATCTAACAAGAAAATAATCCAACTAATTGAATTACATGAACAAAGAATATTCTTTTCAATGAATTTCTCATCAGGTTCTATAATTATCTCATATTCAAATTGATAATCTATAAAATTGGCCAGATTTAAGGCAAAGTACATCATTTTGGAAATTGTAATATGTAAATCAAGAATTGATGTTTGTCAGATAAAATCAAATTGTTAATGTTGGGGTTTACTAATATGAAGTGTTAACTTGAGTCAGTTTATAAGTGAAATGAAATTGTGAGATAAATAATGATCAGAATAAATATGGTCAACAACAGCAGTCTACCTAATTCCGTCAGACTGGGAATCCTGCAGACAGCTGAAGTAATTGCTGTTCGGATAAAAAAGCCAAAGCTTTCCATCCAAAAGAAGTATGTTCAGCCACTCCTTTTACCCTGGCCAACTTCAAGATCAACTAGTTAATAATCAATTTTATAATATGGTGGCGAAATCTGATTAATGTTCACTTTTATGTCCCAAACCTCTTATTATTATTATTATTACACTTGCTAATCTTTGCGAGAAATTTATTTAGCATCCAACCCTATCTACTATATCTGACCTAGTTCATATTATTCTACATATTACGTAATTTCTAATTTTTATTCCATGATTATATATATATATATATATATATATATATATATTCTGATCATTATTTATCTCACAATTTCATTTCACTTATAAACTGATTCAAGTTAACACTTCATATTAGTCAACCACAGCATTAAAGATTTGATTTTATCTGACAAATAACAATTCTTGATCCATATATTACAATTTCCAAATGATGTTCTCTACCTTAAATCTGGCCAATTTTATAGATTATTAATTTGAATATGAGATAATTGTAGAACCTGATGAGAAATTCATTGAAAAGAATATTCTTCATTCATATTAATTATGTTTTAATATAATGAGAAATTATTCAGTAATTGAATTACTATTATGTCATTTAGTTTGTATATGATATGTTCTTTTTTTTAAGAAAAAGAACTTACTTTCATTCAACTCATTAGACTTTAAATTCTTTTGAAATTTTATCCATTTCATTGTATTATCTTCATATGAACTTGAAATAAATAAATATAAAATAAATGATTCATGAATTCAATTTCTAATTAAAACTTACTCATACCAAATTTATTGATTTTGATTTATTTTCTCTTTTAAAATAATTGCATACATCATTTGATATTGATTTAATGATTGTTGAAAGTTTCTTGGTATCTTTTCAATGGAACATATTATATCTGTATTAATAGTTCTAATTAAAACATTTCTTAATTCACGAGCTATTAATAATAAACTATGATATAATGGTGTTCGTTTTATTGGTTTAGGAATAATTTTCAAAATATCATTAAAATTATTTTTTGAAAATAACCCAGTGGTAATAGTAGAATTTAATTGTTGTAAATTATGTTTTGTTTGTGTATGATCCGATATTTGAAAATGATTACAAATTTCGATTGGATATTGATATTCATTATTATTATTATTATTATTATTATTATTATTATTATTATTATTATTATTATTATGAGAACCAGAAGAATTTTCTTTTTCATTAAATGTTTTATTGAATATACTACCTTTTATAAAAAGACAATCAAATCCATTGTTTATAAAATTTGTAACATCACCATGTCGCTTATTTTTATTTTTATTCATGTAATTTAATTTCGTTCCAATCGAAGAAAATACAATACCTTTTGAAATAGATAAATGATTATTTGAAGATGAGTTCTTTTTTGTGAGAGAAATCTTTGTTTTTCTCGGTTTATAAACATAATAATTATTTTCTGATAATTTCGACTTAGGAATTTTCCTAGGTCGACGAAATAGTATTAAACCATCCATCATTTAATGAATATTTCTCCAAATTTATTATTCAAATATCAACAAACTGTTAATTGAAACAAAGTTGTAATTATATTATTGAGTTTCCGAAACCACGTGGTTATTGATTTTCCAGAATTGACCTTAGCACTAACAATTTATGGTGATGGTTGCTATAAACAACCAGAAATTGACGAATTGTTGTCTTTATTTTCGTTAAATAACCAATTACTTCAAGTATTCGTCACTACCGTTTGGGAACTTTGGTCAACAGGCTGACCATTTTCTAGTTACAAATGTGAATGTAGTAAGAAATATCAGTCACATCACATAAAAGTAACAACAAGGGCTAAAAATGGTCTTTTTTACTGCTGACATAAATTGCAATTAGTAAAGTATTTTTACTAACAAAACCATTATTTATGTAACTTTATTTGCCAAAATAAATATGCAGAAGAAGAAAAAAGAACCTTATAAAGTAAAAGTAACTTAAAAATGTTTCAAACGAATGAAAAGAATTGTCAATGAAACTAAATGTTGAGTAGAATTCACCAATCTAGGGAGTTGACTTAATATCGCTAAAGACATAGAACGATAGATGTATTATACTGTCAGTTGAATGAATAGTGAAAGTGAGGTGACTGAATTTCAGTTTTTAACTTTTAGTCAAATTTTTATGTTGCTTCGCAGTGATATTAATATCACCCAAAATATTTCTGAAGGTTTCTGAAGCATTCGAGCATATTTCAAAGAAAGTTTGTGATCTAGGAATCATTAGGTTTTCCGCTGCTGGGATAAACATCTCTAAGCTCTGACGTCCAAGATGTCAGAAAATGAATTGATAAACATCTGACTTTTTGAGGGTCATGCTTTAAAACCTATAATCACTTGTAAGTATCATTCTACTTTTAGCTGTCTATAATTTTAAAATAATTTGTACTTAACTAACAAACTACTGCTAAGCTTCTGGTCGTCTAGTGAATTTTCAAAACTTTGCAATTCTACCTATATCAAAATTATGGATATTTGACCATGACCCATATGCTGCACATTTTTAAATAAAATAGTCTCCATCAACTCAGTACTAACGTTTATGGTGTAACTGTGTCAAGGTTATGTGGTGTTACTATGATCTAATGATTGTTTTTTACTTGACACCTGGTTGATTTTGAATTCTAAATACAATGCATTCGTTTGTGCTCACCTAGTTCTATCTGGCTCAAATTACATTGTTTTGGGAATTCATAGTTGATACAATAATTCGAATACTTCTAACTACCATAGGTTGCATCGAGCGACAACTGCATACTCTGGCTATCCTAACTTAATGGCTGGGCTACCACGTTTCCTAAATGTTCAAAGAGAACAAGTTAAATCTCAGCATAAGGATCGTTTGTTTGATATAATAATAAGTAGAGGAGTATGACAATTATTCTATGGCCCAAGTTCTATGATTGCGTAGTACACTTTGGTTATCCTCAACTATGAAGAGACATGGCTGGCAAGCCGCCGTCTGATAATCGGTTTTATTAGGTAGCAACGATACAGCTTATTTGTCAATGTTACTAGGCTAAACACAGCAACCACTTGTGAAAAGTCCATATTACACCCGTTGTTTTCCTAACTGTAGTTTAATAAGTCATGTCTCAACTTTTAACTTTTTTTGGCCAAGCTCATTTTTTTGTAACTGTGGCATTACTCATCAGCGTGCACGTTAATCCAGCTCGCACATACGCAATATTATATTGTTTTTATATCATTTGAATGTGATAGCCACTTGAACCACCTTTAAAATTTTTCACCAAATCCATTAAAGTCATTATTGCTATACATATTTTGGCCTATGAATTGGACTAACATATGAGTATCCTGAAAAGACGTTGAACAAATTTGAAGTATTAAGGTCACCGCATTAAGATATTATCGTGCTGCACTGGTAAAATTACTAAACTGTCACGTAGTTGTTAATAAAGCAAGCGTTCAAAATAAAAACTCTGGAGCCTACTACTACTACTACTACTTACTACGACTAACACAAAGCATTGTCGCGACTTGAAAACCACGTAATACGATTGGTAAAATTGGTGAAACAAAATCGGTCAATAAATTAACTAACAATCGTCAATAAATGTTTTTTCTCGTGATTTAATGCAGATTATCTCGATGTTTCTCCATCAACCGGTCGTTTAGTAAGTATCTTAGAACCTTTTCAATCTAATTCAAGGTGTAGCGAAACAATCATTCATGCAAATCCTCAGTATAATCAGTCGAGTAAATCTCCTGCAAATTGAAAACATCATTGTCAAATTTATTCCAACGTTGACAAAGGTTCGTATTATTATCATTGACATGAGTCGGTAGTTGTTATTCTCTTGGTTACAACTTATACTCACCCTGATAATCATACAAGCAGCATTCACTGTTTATCATCCTGTAAAGACTTATTCAGCCAAAAGCATCGTACAACACCATGACACCTATATTTGTGCCATATAAGCTTTGTTGTTTTTAACACTATTATCACTTAAGTTCATGCCAATAGATCTCTGTATTATCCCTAAAATGATACTTGCAACTGACTTGTATACATCATCAGCCAGTATGTATGGATATATATAAGTGGTCTATTGCCAACCAGAGCAGAGTCTAGGGAATGTCTCTTGCGGATGCACTCACGTTCAACAAACTACTGTCAATTATCTGTCCAAAATTCACATAGTTACCAGTACTTTTAAGCATTAAGTCAATTTTTAATAACAGTTCATATGTATTTGTAGTACTACTAAAATCCTATCACGATAAAGCAATAATGAGGTCGTGAAATCCCTCCGCAACTATATAAATCAAATTAAACTTTAAAAACTAGCCGGAACACTAGTTGGACTTTCGTCTCCCCAGTTATAAATATGTTACTTCAGTTAGCTGATTAATGCAAATGCAATTGAAAATCAACACATACGGACAGCACACGGACACTAATTGACTTTCTAACTTGAACCAAAGACAACACCAATATCAATATTAATACGATGATGGTTGTTTTTCTGTTTATGAGCACAAACTCCTGGTAATAGCTATATGTTAAGCTACTAACAAACGGCCATTACTACGTGTAAGATTCATTTTGAGGGTTTTGTGTGTAAAAGTTTCACCATGTTTACACTTGTAATTTATTCTTATTGATTCCTTCATTTACACATTTTGTTAGTCTTTTTGATTTCACTTGAAATGCTAATATTTGTATTATAGTTTTTTTCTATTTTTCTTACACCTTCACTGAGTTTCTGAACTGCATTTATGTTGTTTTAGTTGACACTTAGTCTTGGCATCAGCTATATTGATTTGTTCCCCCTTTCATTGTGTTGCTTGCATTGACTGAAATTGTGCGTTTTTGATTTTGAATTGAAGCACTCTTCCAGAATTGGGAACACTGTGTTATGAAGCAACCAAATATTATCGTTCGAACGAATATGTACGTGATCTATCCAGAAAGGATAGAATAACATTTATCCGTTGCGCTTGGTAATTTCCTTACATTCTTAATCAACATGTTTATTTATTGTAATTTATATTCGATTACTGATTGAACAATTATTGGTTGGATAACTGGGTGGCAATATTTGTTTAGGTAATAATGTACATTTATATTTATAATGAAATCTAGTACCGTCATTTACCCAATCACATTGTTTTCGTTTCAACTGGGCAATTGCGCGTATTTAAACTACCTAGACATTTATTCTACGGTTCAAACCTTATTTTGGATTCTACACTATGAATCACAATGAGACTAGTTAAAATATCCACATTCTGAATTTTTCTTCTTTAAGATAACGTTGTTTTGCTTGATGCTTAAATAATTTATAAGTAGATTTCTATTTTGAACGTGTTAATAATTAAACCAAACATATGGGAATTACCATATATATTTCCTGATCAGTTGCTACCTCTTTCTTCTTCAATTGTCTCTAAATTTGTCAGTACCTGCAGGATTCGTATTATTTTTTTAGGAACATCCGGCATGTAATTTTCTGATTCCGTTTGGTATACAACCAACGTCACGTTGATTCTGGTGAGAGAGTTGTGTGGTACTATTGGTTCCCAACCACATGATCTTTGTCTCTGAGCGTATAGTTGCTCAGAAGATTTACACTCAACATGTAACATTAAGAGAAAGTTAAGAATAGTGAACATAGCAGTAGGCAATCAAAATGGCATGTTTCGGCCATGAAGTCGCGGTCACTCTTTATAAACTCTTACTTTTTGTATCAAATATATTACTCCCTTCTAGCCTCAAATGTGTTCTTCAGAAATTCTAGACTTCTTATTGATGATCGTCACAATCGAACGAGTCATTGTAAACAATGATGAGACTTTGGAGATAGGTCTGTCAAACTTATTATGTAAATAATTTTTAATATTATTTGTATTTATTTTGTCAATCTTTCACTGTATGTACATTTATTATTAAATCATTGTACCTGTTGTTTTAGTAAATGACCTTGATCACTTTTTCCGTTGTGATACTAACATAGCGTGACACTATTGTGGTTGTTTCCTAAATACACTACTACACACATACCTCTCGTTCTACATTCACTCGCATTTGTGTTAACCGCAGTCTGAATCAAATACCATTTACCTTTACAGACGATAATTGGAATATACCATATATACTACTGGATCATACCATTGGGGAATCCATCACACTTACTGGAATTATTAACCATCTATAATTGTGGATATTTAATACCAGATCAATTTGGAACACGCACTCTCCTGGTGAACTAAGTAACGTTCCTTATTTCTCTTGTGTTTCTGACATTTAACTTATACATATAAATATTATTATTTGTTATTAATAACTCTGTCACTACCTTTTGGGTTAATATATTGTCTGGTCCACCACAAGACTTCCACGTAGGATCCTTCAGATTATGTGATCGCATCATGACAAATCTACTATTTTAGGATTAGGTTTAATATTATAGTAGTACTAATATTGGACTAGATCATAATTCTAC